GTTATAATGTAGATCTGTGTGGTCACAATTTACTCTGAGTGCATCAGTTTATGCTGTACTGAGCCCTGATGGAAGTGGAGTGGTTTTGTCCTTGAATAATTATGCCTGTTTTTATATGGCCTATTTACCAACAATCAAAATTTATCTTGGACTCTTTTACACATTCTTTGTCTGGTGCACCTTTCTGTAATTCTTTAATTGACAGGCTGTCAATGACAGCCACAACTCAGTTGATGATATAACATTTATGTGCTGTATACTCAGGGGCCCCCAGTGGGCTAGTCCAAGCCTAACTGTAGTTGTGTGCTTTGCTAGGAATTCTCTTTTAAAATGTGATAAATAGGAATCAAACAATAAAGAAACATAAGCTGAAACAGAAAAAAATAAAAAAGAGAAGCATTTTACACACCAGGCTACAGATACCTAGCATACACGATACGAAAAAAAGATAAAAGTGGTCCATTCCAGAAAAAAATTAATAAATAATTATGAAATCCCTAAGTGAAGTCATATTTGATCCAAAGCTCGAAGACACAAAGAGATTTGTTCTAGTAGTTATTTAGAGCCGGAAGCAGGCAGCTTCTGCTCCAGTCAGCAAACAGCCATGGGGATATTTTTAAATAACCTCATATTCTTGTAATCTGTTCAATTATTAAAGATCTGGCAGTGTGTTAGGAAAGCAATTGTGTATCTACAGTAAACAGATTCAAGAATGTATTTTCAACTTCATATGAACTTACCTAATTTAAACTCTCAAATACAATAGCAGAACAACAAAATAGCCTCATTAAAATAATGAGGAGCTTGGCTATCTTTTATACACATTTCCAAGCAGTAACCTTTCATGCCAAGGGCCAAAACAGTAGAAAGGGCAAAACTGTCTGCTCTAGTGTTGTTAAAAATATGGAAGAAGTCCAAAACTATATGGCTGCATGTACAGTAATGCAGTAAATCGGCATCAATGGGTGTATTTTTTCCACTTTGGTGAACACATAAAACTAATATAAATTTGCTTTTTTCAGAGATAATTACACCAGATATACTGTAATTATATTTCATCAATTTAAAACATTTAAACCATATAACAGTTAAAAAGATTAAACCATAGAAAAGTTGTTTTTAGTTTGACAATTTTTATTTCAGCTTTTCATTGAATTGACTGTAGCATGATAATTTATATTGTGGCCATGCATTTAAAATACATTTTTGTTTTTCTAAAATGTGTTAACAAACTGGCTTAAATCGGTTAGTAATTAATGATGGAGGTTAGATGAAAAATATAGCACACGTGTCTATTTGCAAACTGTTCTGAATATTATTAATAGTAGTCAGATAATTGTACTTTGGCAGTGATCATTAACTAGGAAACACTGTTGCTGGCCTTTAGCCTGCCAGACAGTTATCATAAGCCATCTTATAACATGAGCTGATGCATGTTTTTTTGTATTCGTACTTCTCTGGAGAGGTATTTATTCTGTTTAAGATCAATTAATAAAAATCAATCAATTTTTATTAATTTAATATACAAAAAAAATCCATATAACACCTTACGACATCCAAATCAGTGTCAGCACACACTTAAGGTCGAGCATGTTCTTTGGTCGTCAGAGTAGTGGTCGGAGGGCCTCCTCCGACTCGCGTCTATCTAACTACGTCATGTAATGATGCAATAAAGAATATTTTGAACTTTCCCTTTTGTTCACCAAACAGACCCACAGTAACCCCAAATCCTCCCCACTCACTTCATAAATTATCCCCACTAATTGCTAACTAACTTGGTTTACTAACTTCCCCGTATGCCTGACATCCTAAAAACTGCTCCTAAGCCCAACTAACTAAACCACTCATTCACTCGCCCTAACTCTCATACGTTATCCAAGTAAACAAATAAACATTAACAGAATGAAAACATGTAAAACACAAAAAAAACAAAAAGGAACAGAGTGCCACCTTTGTGTGTAAAATCTTTGTATATGTGCTCACAAACAAATGTTTTCATCACGCTTGTCAAAAAGCTAAAAGCCACACCGTCGGTTAACCCAGGATAATTCCACCCCGACTAAATATGACAGCTGCCTCCGGTCACATCACCTTCCACTGTAGTCAGCTAGGATTTCGTAACTTTCATTTTTATAGCTTGATCAAGATAATGTTCCTATTTGAGCCTCTAAAGTTGGCCATACACTGCTCTATTTGTTTCCTTTAACCCGTGGGCTGAATGAAAAAAATGGAGCCGATTCCTCCATCAGCACTACCAGCGTGTCAATCGAGGAATCCCGCTGTTTGCACCGTAATCAGAGCTGGCCGCTGTCAGAATGCCCAAACAGAGCCGGGGACTCTTTGGCTGCCGACTCTGATTGTACAAAGATTTTCTGGCTGGCTCCTTCAATCAGCTGATCAAGGGATGCCGACCAAAATGGTGCTAAAAGTGGCACCCACTGTGCAATTTTTTTCTGGTTCCTCAAAAACCGGCCAAAATTCGCACAGCGTATGGCAACCCTTAGAATGCTATCCAGACACTTCAGGTATCCATAAATAATGAATATCTATCCTCCCATCTAGCTATTTTCTCCATCCGCATAAGATATCCAACTTCAGTTATCCAGTCCTCTACCTGAGTCACCACGGCTGTCTTTCAAAACCTAGGTATAAGAGCACGTCCTGCTGAGAGAAGAAGAGAGGTACTTGTTCTGTGTCTCCGTAGGGCAGCTTTATCCTTTAACTTTCTGCTGATTCTTGCTGAATCGGATAAAATTCAAGCTGTAGATGCCCTGTCAGCAACACCTGGCTCCACAAAAGTAATCTGAAACATTTTCATTTAACAGATGCATCCAATTAGATTCAGGCATTGTTCGGGTATTCAGTAAGCTTAGGGCCATCCCTATTATGAAGTAGCCTGAGGCAGTTGCCACAGGAGGGTGGGCTGGGTGTTGGCAGGGGGGCAGCCACAACGTCCCAGGTTGCTAAAAGCTCTTAGCAACCATTGATGCTCTGCATGGTGTCCCACCAGTTGTCTAGAGCTGAGTGGGACACTCTGGCTTGCGTCCCGCCGAGCTCCTGACAACCAATAATGTCAGTGAGCTGGGCAAGATACCAGACAGAGCAGCTGACAGTGCGGTCTGCCACCATTCCTGCCACAATCCCCCATCAACAAATCGCCTGTCAGGCCCCGCAACGAAATTGCCTCAGGTGAAAAAACCATAGAGGCGGCCCTGAGTAACCTGTAGTCCCCTCGGCTGCTAAATACAATAGCTGGCCAGGGAGATCCCTTCATTTGTGCTGGATGAGGGAATCAAATTACTTCTGTCAAGCATGAACGAGAGAAAGCAAAAGGTGTACGAACAGCTTAACAGCTTAACTACTTCAATCTAAACAATGCAAAATAGAGTGCGTGGACCAGAAGCATATGGGCAGTAGTAGAGCAGTAGAAGCTTAGTTTTTATAGCAGTTTATGTAGCCATAAACTAATAAGCCATAAGCCAAGATACTAAGGAATTTTGTATTTTTTACCATTTAAATTTCCTCCAGATTATCCCTTAATTTTGTTCAGGCATAACTGCCTCTATCTTTAGTAAAGTAAAATGAAACCCTAAACCTTTTTTCCACAATAGCAGCAGTAAACATATATCTAGTAAGTCACTTTTTCCTGTGTTAAAACTGGCCTTTCCTCCAATTCTATCTGGCACCCTGATCCCAGGCTCTGCTTTCTGATTTTAGGGTGACTCATTTACCTTGCAGGGTCCTATGAAGAAACCTTATTGTGTGCACACCCATGTATAGGACTACATACTGACATGATGACACTGCTTGAGCAGAAAGGCACAGGCAGCCCGACATGAGAACCAGAGATGAGAACACACCCCTTCAGCTCCTAGTTCCAGGCAAGTGCACAGGCAAGGATGAGAACACACCCTTTAAGCTCCTCCTACCAGGGTAGAGTGTAAAGAGTACAGCGGCTCGAAGGCTGAGCTATCACTTTAACAACAATTTTTTTTTTAATGAACAATCTTTACTTATATTTTGGATCAGCATGCAGGCAGTGCCCACAAGTCAGCAAAATGTTTTCAGTGAAGGGGTGCACTGGCACAATGAATGAGGGGATATGTAGTCCCGAGTTATGTGATAAGGTGCCTTGGAGTTACATTTAGAGACCAGACGTGTAAGCTGCAAAGAGGAACACTAGGAAAGCGGCTGTACACATATACTGGATTGGGTCTTTCGGCACTTTTTTGGAAGAAATTGTTTATTGCTCTGCGCTACATTAGTCTATAGCAATGTGTTCTGGCTAAAAAATGACAAGGCTTTAGTACTACTTTGGTAATATTGTAAGGGAAGATTTGGCTAAATCTCCCAAACATATATTCTCGTATTGTTAATGTCTAGTGAAAAATTATGCATTTAGGATGTATCGTTCAGAGGACCTGTTTTGTCAGATCTCTTTTTCTAGGGATTGATATACTTGTAAAAGGTTTAAGGACAATCATTAGCAACCTGTCTTTTATCTTCAATGTTATGTAGTCTGAACTCATTCATCTTTGCTTACTATATTCCTTATAATTCATTTAAGCATATCCCTAGTATTTTTTTTTTGCTAGGGTTTTTATTGCCGTCTGTGTCCTTCTGACTATTGTCTCAAGGAATGATCCAAAATGTTATAGTTGCCACTTAAACTGGAGGTGAGAGTCAATCTTCCAATGGGGATACTTATTCTGGTGACAACTAAGAGGGAATTTATCCTTACTTTGGAGATATTCGCTATCAGTTCCCATCTGCAGAATAGGGAAAGATGAGAAATCTCTTCGCAGAGAGCAAAAAAAACTGACAGGCGTTCTAAACATGACCTACTCTATCCAAACTAAAAACAAAAATATATGCTAGAGAAAGTTATTTCTGCACTTTTAAACTTTGATAAAGATGTGTAGCTGTGTATGTTATAGTTGCATATGCTACAGTATAGATCTTTGTATTTTTAGCTGACATGATTGCTTCTTCTTTTACAGGATGGGTTCATTTTATGCTCCGGGACTGATCGGCATTAACGTCCTTAGGTTGCTCACCTCGATGTACTTTCAGAGCTGGGCTGTTATGAGCAGTAATGTTCCTCATGAACGGGTGTTCAAAGCATCTAAATCAAATAATTTCTACATGGGGCTTCTCCTCCTCATCCTCTTCTTAAGTCTGTTGCCTGTGGCTTATACAATCATGTCTCTTCCACCATCATTTGACTGTGGGCCATTTAGGTATGAATAAAGGAACCAAATCCCAAATGTGTAATTGTAACCAGCTGCTGACAAGTTTAACAACCTCCCCCCTCAATATGGTAAATGGACTTGACTCTGTAAGTTTTACAGTCCTTGCTAGTTATGGGTGAAATGTTTTGAAAACCAAGCAAATTGACATATCTGTGTATCAAAGATGTATTTTATTGTTTTAAATATATGTATTTAGAATTGTCTAATCTGCAAAGAAATACTATTGATGACATGTAATTTTCAGTTTTCTTAAACTGATTTACTATAGGCCAAACCTATAGGCAAACACTGAGGGGTCTATTTATAAACAATTTGCAGAGCCTTTCACCCTGTGTTTGGGAGAGTAATGCCGAAAATGAATGCTCTCAATTTATTTCCCAGTTCGAAAATGTAGTGTTATATTATAGCCACTATGTGTAGTTTCCCAGTTCGAATGTACTGTTCCCAGTTCGAATGTAGTGTATTATTGTAATATTATATTATCGCCACTGGATGGAGCTGAGAAGCAAAGAAAATAAGTGTTTATTTATGCAGGTGGATGTCTAGCAGTAGTGTGGCTGAGCATGTAAGGATCATATGGGCATTCAGTGTTCCATAGCGATTTGATAGAAAGATGGTCACTGGAAGTGGCTTATCCACTTGAATGTGAAACTAGGAAGTAGAAGAGGAGCCAAGGCACAGACCACAGGTGTCTGCAGCCAAGAACTCTAGTGGCAATTTTGGGGGAGACCATGTTTTATTTGAAAATGGTGATTTTGTGATCATTTAGACGGATGTGCAAATCTTAGGCCATCTTAGCTTTACATAGAGTCAGCCCTGCTGTCCTGCTTAATACACAGATGTTTGTCAGATTATGCTGTATTGTGTACATATAGGCACATTTTCCTTAAAGTTTTAAATACAAAATGGGGGGGGGGTTGCCTGTGGCCCCTCACTTTCTGTCCCCCCAAAAAACAATATTTTTCTCTTCAAAATGAGGGAAGATGCACACTTAGACAGTTGTTACCACAGCAGGTGCCCCGTGAATTTATGTCCCATTGGCAAAGGGTACAAATAAAGAAGGAATATCCCCAAAGGAGACACAGACAGGAATAAAACCGTAAAAGGGGCTCTAATCCTTCCTCGCCCTTTTGCAGATCTATAAAAAAAATGGCTAGAGATACAGTTTAATTTTTTTCCCAATAGGCAGCCCTTGTAAGGTACTGTATATCCACTCTCATAAATGCTACACCAGCTCTAAGAAACTTAGATTACTTGTACTGAGAGACATGAGGTACAAGTGATGCTATATTTTTACTGAGTAGATAAAACAGTTCATATATTACAAAAAGCATTATTAAAGGTCAAACATAACTTAATATGTTTTTCCTAAATAATACTGGTGAGCAGAAACTGAATGTGGTGTTTGTTCATATTCATATGTTTATTCTTCTAGTGGGAAGAAGAAAATGTTTGATGTAATCCAAGAAACAATGGATAATGACTTTCCTCCGTTTGTTGCCAAAATTCTCAGTGCAATTGCAAATCCTGGACTAATTATCCCAGCTGTTCTCCTTATGATGTAAGTTATCTTTTATTTCTCCCAAATCCGTCTATTGCAAACATGAGTTTTTAAACCCCAGGTCCCCCAACAGCACATACTCACCTTTCCTTTGCTTCCAGGTATAGAGAACCATGTAACTGTCTCCACGTGACATCACTGGTGCTTGATGATTGGCTATGCACTGTCATACAGGGAAGGAGACACAGCCCTATTTAAATTCGGAATAGCAGCACAATTTCCCTGCTTCAGGCACTATCAATCAATGCAAGGCTCAACAGTGAGGGAGAGATATAACTAGGCATGTCCCACATGACTTGAATGTCAGCCAATGCAAATTGCATAGTAAATACTCTGCCCCTGAATATATGGACAGTGACAGTGCAGCAAAGAACTGTGACACAGGGCACCTCGGAAATCCTGCCTCCCAGCAACTGGGCATAGCTGTGATCCTTGGGTTAAGACAATGACATCCGGGACATTTTGTTAAAGATTTTCTTGGATATGCAGAAAGTTTTTTTTCTTTTTAAATTATTGATTAGTGATGTTTGCTGTACAAGAGGGAATTTTATGGAAAAAATAACGTCACCCTGGAGTTCAGCTTTAATGCTGGAGATGCATGCATGAGGAGTGGCACAAAGCTGCCTTTCCTCATTTGTTGCATTTGAACATTCGAGTGGCACAGAAGTGAAAGGAAGAAATGCGCTGCAGAGAAAGAGGGCATTAAAGTGAACCTATCGCTTTAAAGGTGGCTATAAGTATGCAGATAATGTGTAGAACAAGGTTGTATTATTCAGAGTTTATTCTATCTGTAAATTTTCCAACGGCAACCTTGTTTTTTTTTAACTTAATTTTTTTTTCTAAAAAAAAAAGCAGTTGTTTAATGGCCACATTGGTGCATGTGACCCTAAACAATGCAAGTGGTCTGAACCCATCTGGTTTATCTGCCATACTTGGCCATTAATGTGGACAGCCAACTATATTTATTGCAGATTAACAGGTATATTCACAAAAGGGTGAAGAGTTTGGAGAAGGCAGGAGAAGTGAACAATTTAGGACAACATAGCTGAACTTGAAAGTGAGCTAAATTGGAGAATTTTTCCAGTTCAGCTATTTTGGCCTAGATTGTCCACTTCTGCCTTTTCCAAACTCTTCACCCTTTACTGAATAGGTCTGTTGGTCTCTTACAATCAAGGAGAAGAAATTTTGGGTGGCTTGATCCACCTTTGTATGGTTAGTACAGCAATATATATATATATGCAAAGTTTTATCACCTTATGTTTTCCATAAGAGTTCAGTTTTGGTTGATTGTTATAAAAAGGACAAAGCCTGTTCATTGATTATATAGGGATTATACAAGTTGCAGGGTAGGCTAAAATTATTTTCTATCTAAAATGTATAACTTGTAAAAAAAAAAAAAAAAAAGAGTAGCAATAAATGTCTTGCAGCTGATGTAATACTAACTACATTCATCAAATAAAAAAATGAAAACAAATAAACTTATCTGAATGTAGACCTAATTTGTCTTTGATTAACAAGCCCACTGCATCATATCAGCATTTTAAAAGCTCATTTGTCTGTAATCTTTTACCAATAGAGATGATCATGGTCCAATAGATTTGTCTGCAAAATCTACTATTTCGCCAATGGCTGAACTCCACTCAATTTGAAACTCCTAAATGTAGTTTTTTCTGCTGCTTGTGCGCAAGTTGCATTTTTTTTCTTTTCATTATTTAGTGGAGAAGGGGGGCTGGCCTCATTTCATGCAGTTACATTAATTTTTGTTATAATTCTTGGCACATGTATGTGTGTGTCTGTCGGGGGGTTGAAAGGTGGTTTTGGGGGGGGTTGTATGCATTTGATCATTATTTTTGTAATCACACAATGATGTCACTTCCATTTATTTTTACCTATTTTTTCACCTTGTATTTTTCTTTCTGGGAAAATTTTAAATAGTCAGGCAAGCCCCTACCTTGTTCGCCACCTGAGGCGGCCAGCGGAAGGGGAAGTGCTAGCCGGTTGAGCTGTCAGCCGGAAGGGAGGCGGCGGCTGCCAAGCTGTTACCTGGGTGGGAGGCCGAGCTGTCAGTCCAGAAAGGGGGAATTTGGGGGCTGCTGTTAGTCAGCCGTGCTGCTGCCCTTCAAAAGAGATGCCGTCTGAGGCTAACTCATTATGGGGACGCCCCTGATGCCAGTAATGTGGGACCGAGTTTTGAAACAATAAAAGGTCTAGGATAATTGAAAGGAGGTTCTGTAACCCTCAGGAGCCATTTAAAGCAATGCATTCAGCAAGAATTATGAAATTTTGCCAAAAGCTCCATATTTTTGCTGAAACTTTATGGGGAAATAAGTATTTTCAATATCGCTCATCCTTAGTTACTAATAAAGTGTGTGTGTGTCTCAGAGTTCTATAAAGTTCCTTGTATATTCTTTTTGCACAGCTAAATGATCATCGCACTAATATATACTGCACACCAACACCCACCTAGTACAATTTCTAATCAGTGTGACATAAGAGAGCTAAATGTGTGCATTTGTAGCCTTATTCAGAATGTGAGATATGTCACTCCACAGAATCAAATAGTAAAAAAAAAAAAGATTAGGCCATTGTGCTTAAATATACTATTCCAAAAGCTGCTCTCGTTTCCAGTGGGGGACATACATTGCACATCAGTCATTAAAAAGTAATCTTAACACACAAATGTTTCATGTGTTGTAATGTTAATTAATACATTATCTCCATTCCATTGAACTATGTTTCTTCCAGATTAGCAATTTACTACCTCAATGCTGTTTCCAAAGCTTATCAACAAGCAAACATAGATCTCAAAAAGAAAATGCAGATGGTAAGTGCAGACATCATTTAAAATGTAACATATTTATTTATTTTCAACAAACAGAATGTGGACCATTTGGAAAGGCCAAAGAAGTATGTGTTCAATGTTTTTCTCCAATTTAGTAATTAGTCAAGCAGTTGTCATTTTATGGTACATTACACAAGGTCTGCCAAAGTCAATTATGTTTAAATATTCAGCACATGCCTCATTTAGATGTAATATATTTTTCCCACGGAGTTAGTTAGAGAAGACTTTTACTTCTTCTAGCTATGGAGTTATGCTGTATTCATGTTATCTCTTTAACTGCATAGTAATCTAACTTGAATTTCCTTATAAAGCAAAGAGAAGAGGAAAAGAATAAACGCAATAATAACACCCAGACTAATTCAATTATGCGAGACCTAGAAGAATTACTTCCTCCAAGTGCAAGGAATGCACTCAGACTCCAGACTACTGGAACAGGTAGGAAAGTTGTGAAACCATGAGAAATTCTATCCCTATCAATGATCCAGAGGAGACTGTTACTTCACTCTACAGAGCAACCAGAAAGTGACACTAAACTCAAAATGTAGATCTTCAAATCATCTCTGAACTCCTGCTGACACTGTCCTTCCTTCTGGAGGGTGGCAACTTTTTCTCCCCATGGTGCCTGTGTGTTGTAAAGTAGCCACCACTTCAAACTCACTCCCGTGATGGACTACAATCTCACATTTAGGTTTCTCATTTTCTGTAATAGACTATAATTTCAATAAAATTAGTATGAGATTGTAGTCCATCACGGGGAACAAAAGTAACCACCCTCCAGAAGGAAAGACAGTGTCAGCATGAATTCAGAGATGATTTGAGGATCTACAGCTGAGTGATACACAAATAAGTTACATTTTTGTTAATAGTTAAGTTACTTGAATGCATTTTTAAGATTTAAAGGAAAACTATGAGGGGAGTGATTTTTACTCAACCTCATAGTTCGAGCCGACGTGCGACAATTAAACTGTCACACGCCGGCTCAATAGATTGGGAAGTGAGTGAACGCATACCGTCGCTCGCTCACTTCTTGATCATCTCCCTGCAGAGAGCTGTGACTGTCACTCACGGCTCCCTGCAGGGATTCCCCCCCTCCCCGCTCTGATCCTCAAGCACTGACTGGCGGAACGGACGGGGGAGTGGGCGGGTACAGCTGGCTCTGCCTCTAGATAGGCAGAGCCAGCTGTCAATCACGCAGGTGGGTGGATCTCGACAGTAATCTCGGGATCCGTCCCGGCTGTGGCGGTCTCAGTATACCGCGAGCTGTAGCTCGTGATATACTGAGCTTTGGGTCACGGGAGGGCGCTAGTTTATGTCCTCCCGTGACACTTGGGAGAACTATGGGGAAAAACACTGACCCCATAGTTCTCCTTTAACTCCTGAGTTGAGTGTCACTTGAATGAAGATAAGAGAGAAGATAAAAAGTTACTTCCTCCATGCTTGTTCATTGCAACCAAGAGTTAAAAGAAAATGAATCACGGCATTTTTCTTTATCTATTATGGTCAGGACTAAGTCCTCATATTTACCAACCCTGCAGCCTGGAAAACATAAAATACTGTCATTAATATTTGGTATTTCTTTTTAGGCCGACAGGTAGAACTCTGTACTCTTTTTTAGATTTTTCTCTTATCTCTTACAGCCTAATGAAAGCAACCGATTGTTTACAGGTCTCACTAACTCATGATCAAAGTGTATGTAAACCCTAACAAAGAATGTCTCATATTTGCTCATTGTTGATCTGTTAAATATACCATTGGAAGTACAACCCCAATTCCCAAAAAGTTGAGACGTTGTGTAAACTCTATATAGAAACAGAATGCAATGATTTTCAAATCTCATGAACCCATATTTTATTCACAATAGAAATGATAAAATGTACCACAAATTGATGACAGCAACACGTCTCAAAAAAGTTGGGACAGGGCAGCAAAAAGCTGGCAAGATAAGTGGTACTAACAAAGAAAAGCAGGAAGAACTAATTAGGTTTTTTGGCAACAGGTCAGTAACATGATTGTGTAAAAAAAAAGAGCATCGTACAGAGTCAGAGGGGTTGATTTACTAACCTTATAAACACACCACGAACATGTATACACCTCTGTAGTGTGTTCCCTCCCAGCATGATCTATGGGTGGAATCTAAACACCTTTGTAGTGTGTACACACTTTGCAAGGTGATGTTGTGTAAATTAGCTCTATGTTGTGTTGCTTGCGTTGATGAATGCAGGAATGTAAATGCATGAGCTAACCATTTTTGTCTAAACAGTGAAGCAGCATTATATATGCATCATGTGCATGGTTTTTCCATATATGGCATTAGTGGATATATACTTTTAGAGACTTTTTGGTTGATAAATACGATTTGCTGTTTAAAAATCACACGCACCTAGTGCGTGCGTGTGTTTAGGTTAGTAAATCACCCCCAGAGTGTCTCAGAAGTAAAGATGGGCAGAGGTTCACCAACCATAAAAAGCTTTGTCTAAAAATTGTCAAACAATTTCAGAATAATGTTCCTTAATGTCAAATTGCAAAGACTTTAAATATATCATCATGTACAGTACATAATATCATAAAAAAATTCCAAGAATCTGGAAAGATCTCTGTGCACAAGGGACAAGGCCGAAACGCAATATTGGATGCTCATGATCTCCAGGCCCTCAGATGACACTGCATTAAAAACAGGCATGATGGACATCATTGCATGGGCTCAGGAATACTGTCTGTGAACACAGTTTGCCGTGTCATCCAAAAATGCAAGTTAAAGGTCTATCATGCAAAGAAGAAGCCATATCTGAACACAATCCAGAAACGTTGCCATCTTCCCCGGGCCAAAGCTCATTTAAAATGGTCTGCGCAAAATGGAAAACTGTTCTGTGGTCAGACGAATCGAAATTTGACATTCTTCTTGGCAACCATGGGCACCATCAATGCCGAAAGATATATCCAGAGCAGCATATGCTCCCATCCAGAGGATGTCTTTTTCAGGGAAAGACTTGCATATTTCAGTAGGACAATGCTAAACCGCATACTGCATCTATGACAACACCATGGCTTCATAATAGAAGAGTCTGGGTGCTTAACTGGCCTGTCTGCAGTCCAGACCTTTTACCAATTGAAAATATTTGGAGCACATTGAAACGAAAAATACAAAGAAGACCCAGGACTGTTGAGCAGTTAGAATCCTATATCAGGCAAGAATTGGACAAAATTCCTCTCCCAAAACTCCAGCAACTGATCTTCTCAGTTCCCAGACGTTTACAGAATGTTGACATGGCCCTGTCCCAACTTTTTTGAGACGTGTTGCTGCCATCAATTTCAAAATTACAATATTTTTTTCCTAAAAGGGTACATTGTCTCAGTTAAAACATTTGATATATTTTCCATTTTCTACTGTGAAAAAAATATGGGTTTATGAGATTTGCAAATCATTGCATTTTGTTATTAAGTAGATTTCACACAGAGTCCCAATTTTTTGGGAATTGGGGTTGTATTATGTTGTCTATTTGACAAGTGCAAAATAATATATCTGTTGATCATGTCAGAAAGTTAGATGTCTTTTGTCCAGGGGCCATTTCCTTTGTTTTCTCAATGAGAGTAATTAGCCCTCCTAGTCCACAGTTGATTTCACATACAGTCCCAGTTTTTTTGGAATTGGGGTTGTATTACGTTGTCTTTTTGACAAGTGCAAAAGAATATCTGTTGCTCATGTCAGAAAGTTAGATGTGTCCAGGGACCATTTCCTTTGTTTTCTTAAGAGGAGTAATTAGCCCTCCCAGTCCTTATTTTGGTACTACAGAAATAGTAGCTTTTATGTTATAGAGATAGGAGAGCAGGTGGGTCTGAGTAGCTTGGCAAGGGAAAACTGGACAGTTTACAAATGCTGTGGTTTATCAGCCCACAACAGTACTTAGTAGCTGAGTGCATTTCTGGCAGATCTGGCTTGTATTTTGTGTACTTGCAGGGTCTTTAAATGGATAAACCATAGGCAAATGTGCATGTATTGCAGAGATACTACTATTACTGTATACTCTGTACTGGATATGTTTGGTTTTTTTCCTCATTTTTTTTTGACCTGACATGCACTTTAAATTTGCACACAGCTAGATGACGCAAGACTCATCCCAGTGACTCAAACCTTTTCGGATGCCTTAGTTTAAAATTTCAGTTACAAAGCAAGCCATGAAACAGGCAACTATTGCTGTGCTAGTTGCTTAGTCAGTCCACAGAAATTATATGTAAATTATTAAATAGATTGTATAGAGATAGTAAAACAAAAAAATATATGAGACAATATAAAAACTGGCAAACTTAAAAGAACAAATAACAAATTATTATAGTTTTCATTTAATTGCAAGTGTTCATGTCATACATTTAAAATGTACGAGGTATATGACACATTTTTATATGTGGGCATGTTGAGAGGGATTGAAACCATTTATATTGGGATAACTGCTAGCTAAGTAAGCTTCCCTTCTTTAAAGTCCATCAGCACCACCTTTCTCTTCTGGAGAAGCTATGTGCTAGATCCTTCCCCCCTTGACTTGGCTTGTCTGTCTTCCCCTTATAGCAATCGGAAATGTTGGTCTATTATGGTAGCTGCAGCTGTATTTATGCTATCTACCTGTTCTCAATGGGTTGTTTTGTCCCATCTGCATGACGCTTTGTTAAATCCCTGTTGTGCAGCTAATGGCTTTCTCAAAAAGAATGTAATGATTAAAAAACAAAAAAGAAAATCTATGTGTATCTAGCAGTAGACATTGATCTTGAAACACCTTTGAAGTTAGAGAGGAATCTGTAACTAAGAACAAATTCATGCTATTTGGGCTAATTAATAGCAAGACAGCAAGATGACATGCTTACAAGGGGAGACTCAGACCACAAGTCTACATAATTTGTTCATGTCCTCTAGTGGTCGAAGTTGATCGGTCATTCACTCGGCTGCCCTCGGCAGCTTTGTGAATGGACCCCTAAGTACTTTTTTGTGCAAGAAACAGAAAATTAGCATATCACATAGTAAATGGAGGTGAATCACTTCCACAGCAAAATTATGTATATTATTCCGTTTGTCTTGGAGATACGGTAGTTAAATTCACCACAATACTTTTAACATAGTTTAATATTTCCATATCATGAAAAATCTGAAAACAGTAGCAAAAAGAATAACTTTCAAATGCAGCTATGTTAGCTATCTAGTTGTTCATGAAACACCAAACAGTAATACCTTTCTAAAACAAGTGTTTTCTTTTTACAAACTGTTATGTTTGTAAAAAGAAATGTAAAATCCCTTTAGCTTATCTGGGCAGGCAAAGTTTAGAGTAAATAGATAGTTTAATGGGGGAGTATCACATACCTGACTGGAGACTCAGCTGAGAAGGAGGCTGCCCGTGTACCTCTCGTCCCACACCCCTGGAAGTGGTGGCAGGAGATATAAGGACTGAGTGGGGTGCAGATGCTGGTACTGGTGTTGAGGAGACACTTGAGTGGGCTGGAACAGCTGATAAATCGGCAGCAACGGGATGACACTGGGACCTCTAGGAACCAGAGCAGGCAACGGTGGAGAGGCCAACAAAGCACTAGCTGGATGTAGCTGCTCAGGGTACTGCTGGAGCGATCTACCAAGTGGCAGCCGAGGTCATACACAGGAAACCGAATCTTGATTGTGCAAGGTCAGGAATCATAAACCAAGGTCATACACAGGAGATCAGAGAGCAGAGGTACCAAATCAGAAGGAAGAAGCGGAGTCAATGGTCACAAGGTGTTGTTCATACACAGCAAATCAGGATACTGAAACAGAGTATGGGGCACACAGGGACTAGCTGAAGACCACTCAGCAACTTGGTCATGGCTGTTTATCAGTTTATATAGAATAGCGTGCACGCCAATGAGTGCGCACATGCACGCTAACGCCTCCGTATGCTCATGTTTCTGCGCTATTGCACGTAAATGTTCCCATACGGACGCGTCCATGTGCTAAAGCGTTTACCAGACAATTTCAGCAATGGGTTGCATGCTTGTGTGCGTGCACGGTTTTGGCCAGGAATCAATCTGCAGGTAAGTCTCTTACAGGCAGTATTTAGGAATATTACAGCAAAACAGTAGTTGTTGTGAATAATAATTATGGTCTTGACTGTAGGTTCAAGAAATACCTAGATGGTACCCCGGAACTTCCTTGATTTTCTTTATGACAGCGTTCTGCAACTGCTAAGTTAAGTAATCTGGCAATTTTATAGATCCCTTAGAACTTTATTTGTGAGATAAATGTACTTGAGTTTTTGAATCTGAACATCTGCTGTGACAATGATGAAGGGGTCTACTACCAATGCTGGATTCTATAAGGGACAATCAAAAGTAAAGGCAATTTATAAATTACAAGGTAACCGGAAAAGAGAGAAGCTTGTACAATACAGCATATTTACATAGCCTGATGAATGGTACAAGCATGCATAGTACAGTGCTCGGACTTTAGTTGAGTGGTAGTCACATGGACAGAAACATGGATGCTTCATTGTGAGATTGCTTGCCGGCATCTGACTTTTAGTTTTGTTTTCAGGCCGCGTACAGCAGAGGACGCCACGGGCTCGCCGGGAGAAGGTAAGTGTCACTTTTCTCTGCAGTCCTGAGTCTGGCTCGGGGGTTACCGCTCCTAGTATTGAAAATGAACCCCGAGCCAGACTCGGGAAAACCGCCAGGGAGGTTAAAGAACTACGTCCCATAATGCACTTTCTTTTGGCAGAGGGAGTGAATCCATTGGAAATTCACCATTGGATGTTAGCTCAGTATGGTCAAAGCACCATGAATCAACAAAAGGTTTATGAATGTTTAGAAAGATTTAAAGCAGGAAGAAAAGGTGTAACTGATGAAGCTCATTCTGGTCCCTCATCAGCATCGTGCACACAAGACCACAAAGACAGAATGCCTTGATTAAAGAAGACTGACAGATAAGTGTCTCTATTGGCTGAACATTTGGATATCAGTTATGGATCCGCATTTGCCATAGTGCATGATGACTTGGAATGCAGGAAAGTCTGCGCATGATGGGTTCCCAAACAGCTTACTGCTCTGCCAAAGCAACAGCATGTGGAGGTTGGGACCCAGTTCTTGAGACAATATGAAGAAGATCGGAACACTCTGGAGAGCATTGTCACTGGCATTCAGACATGGGTGCCCCACTACGACCCGGAAACCAAAAGACAAAGCATGGAGTGGAGACATCTGTCTTCTCCAGCGAAAAGTCAGCCCTCCACCAAATAAATCATGTTAATGCTGTTTTGGGACAAGAAGGGGCCTATTCGGGTGCATTAGCAAGCGCATGGGCAAACAGTGAACAGCGCAAATTACTGTGAGTTGCTGGGAAATAAACTTAAACCTGCATTCACAGCAAAAGAAGAGGAATGCTGTCCAAAACAGTCCTTCTGCACCATGACAATGCACGATCTCATACAGCACCAGCAACAGTAGAGACAGTGCACCAGCTTGGGTTTGAACATCTTTCACATCCTCCTCACAGTCCGGATCTGGTGCTGGGCGATTGTCACATGTTCAACATGTTCGGTCCACTGAAGCCCGCACTCTGCGGTCGCAGGTTCTCCTCAGATGATGACGTAAAGGAAGCGGTGCACACCTGGCTTCACCAGCAGCTGAAAAACTTCTTCTCTGCATGTATACAGAAGCTAGTTGAACGATACAACAAGTGCATCATCATTTATGGGGACTATGTGGAAAAGTTATATGTTCAAGTGCTCACGGTTACTTCTATTAAAGGCATTAAATGTACTTTGCCTTTGCTTTTTGATTCTCCCTCATATATATTCATATTATCAATGCAGCAGGATATGCTGGAACATGTAAAGGTGAGCAGAAACACCCGAAACTGTCTGATAAACAGGGACATAGGGAGATCTTGCTGTTGGAATAACCAAGCCATAACATGCCATTAGTTGACTCAGCCTATCAGGGTCCACCTACTACTAAAATATTATTTTTAGGTGGTCTGACCCTTTAATCACTTCTCCTGCATAGTTACCATGTCCTGCCACAGGAGCCTCTGTGCTGATCCACACAAATGTCTTGTACCTAAAGCAAGCAGTTCTGGGGTGCCAGAGCTAGAAACAACAGATCCAAGGTAAAAGGAAATGTACAGTATATCATCTAAATTAAATAACTTAGTGATTTGTTCTAAGATAAATCTGATTTTTATTTATTTATTTATTACAGAGAGCCACACTAATGCACAGATAATTTCACAGCCAGCCGGCGGTATAACCTCACAAAATAACAATACTCCGGGCTTAGCACGACGAGAAGGTCCCACAATGCCAACACCCCGTATTGCTGTCACAAGCCCACCGGTGCCAAGACCTATGGGGCCATACATGGGAGGATCGCCACGGTCTCCACATCTACAGAGCCCACATCCTAGGCATTAAATCTACTGGGACTTAACAAGAAGTGTCTTCCATGCACATTTTTTGTAAACAAGAGCTGATTTCAGAAATTGTTTTTTTTATTCAGATCTTAGGATGTTAGAAGATCATTTAGACTTAACATATTGATTTCTATTAAAGTTGTTTTAGTATTCTCAAATAACAAAATGTATGTAACACAAAAATTACCCGACAACCAAAATTAAAATTACCTTTTGTAAACCTCAATTGAAAACATTCTTTCGTATCTTAGATTACCTAATTGCAGTACTACAAATATGACCAATTCCTCCAGAAGTCCCGCAGATTATTAAGAAACCCCCACTAGTGAGCTAGTTAATTGGTGCCAGCCTGTGTTTATTTTAAACCATATATTCTTTAGGTTGCAATTAACAAGGCTCATGCCGCATGTGCCCCTTCTTGCTTCTCCCTTTACTGACATGGTTTTGAGATGTTAGGGACTAAACTACATGACCATCAATTGAAGGTGAACATCAATTAATAAATTCCCCCTTTGATGTACATGGCTGACCTACCTTCTGTTAACCATAATTGACGATTATCAACTAGTATTCCATACATGTGTATTTCTAGATGTTTATTTACGTTGAGCTACTTACTAATCTTCCCAATATCTCTTATTGTTGGTAATTCGTAACTCGGTCACATTATGATGCCTTTCTGAGTGACATTAGTCCTCTGCTATTTCCATGTGTATCATTGCTGTTTTCAGTTTTCAAAAGTCTAAATCATCTGTGGTGATTGTAATTTGCTATTATGATATTTGTCATTACTATCATTGCTTCATCTATTGCGTCTGTGTCACCAGTTTCTGTTACGTTATGGCAATTGCTCCGGCTGTCTTTTGTTGCCATGGGAATGTCCTGTTTGGGACGCTTCTCTTCATGCGAAATGGCGGTGGGTTCCATTCAATTTGACAGACGGACCTTGCCACATGTAGGTGCACTAGACTCAGTGGCTCTACCCTAGCCTAGCCAGCCAGCAGCCTCGGACAACAGGCGTATCTCCGCTCCGCACAGTACATGCACCAGCGGGCAGGGCTGAAGTGGTTTTGCTATGGCAATGCTATGACATGATTAATCATATTGAATTGCTGTTTTGCTCATTATTCTTCTGCCTTTTGACACATGTTCTCTAATTGTTTGGGCCGGCTTATGGGGTGATAGGGGTGTTAGGGGGCGGACTTATGGGTTGCTCCACATCTGTATGTCTATATAAGTTCACATTTCTGTCTACACCTCTGTCAATGTTAAGCCTGATGAAGTGACCCTGCATGGCCCCAAAAGCATTTGTTTTCACTTGGCATGATTCTTATTAAATGAAAACATGGTTATCCTGAAAGGATTTTTGGTGTGCTGGTGACATTTCTTCAAGTGAATTTTTAGAGGTAATCACTGCAAACAAGCAATTTCTATAGCTATTAATGAGACTTCTGTACCTGACCAACAGGTAGTTTGAAGCACTTTTCTTGATAAAACTGCTCCAATTGTCTCAGGTTTGAAGGATGTCCTCTCCAGACTGCATGTTTCAACTCCTTCACAGATGTTTGATAGGATTCAGATCGGGGCTCATAGAAGACCACTTTAGAATAGTCCAATGTTTTGTTCTTAGCCATTCATGAGTGCTTTTAGCTGTGTGTTTGGGGTCATTAACCTGTTGGAGGATCCATAACCTGAGACTGAAACAGTATATTCTGACACTGGGCAGTATGTTTTGCTCTAGAATTTCTTATTTGTCTTGAGATTTTATTATGCCCTGCACAGATTCAATGCATCTTATGTCAGAAGCAGCAAAGTCTCAAAACATAACCAAGCCTCCTCCATGTTTTAAAGTAGGTACAGCATTTTATTCTTTGAAAGCTTAATTATTTTAATCTGCGAACATAGGCCTAATGTGCCTTGCCAAAAAGTTCACATTTTGTCTCAGCTGTCCAAAGGTCATTGAATTCAGAAGAACTATGGCTCATCACATGAATAATATGAATGCTAGAAATTTCAGTATGCCTTTTATGGGTTTTTTTAACAGTGGAGTTTTCCTTTGAGCCCACTGTTTCCCAAACATGGACAGATTGTGCAATCAGACACTGGTGTAGCTTGACCTTGGAGTTAAGCATATATCTTTTCTGAATTTTCTCTGGCTCTTTGTCTACCATTTTCTTCTGTTCAGTCAGTTGACATGTCATACATGATGATGCCAAACAGCAGAGTACTTTTCTCAAGTTAAAAAATGTGACTGACTGATTTCAAGACATGTGTGATGCTAATTACAGAAAACCGTTTGTTTAAAATATCACTATGATGTAATTATCTATAATATTTTCTAGGGGTACAAACAAATCTGTCCAGGCCATTTTAGAATATCATTATAGAATAAGCAGCCACCTCTTTTCAATCTATATTTGCTTTATTCTGAGATGTGAAAGGAATGCAGGTACTGTATACATGAGACAACTGCATTTAATTGCATCACTTTTCAGGAGGAATGAAACATTGTTTCAACAAGTTGTAAGGGTACTAACAAATCTGTCCACATCTTCTTTAACTATCTGAATTTGACTTAATTTGACCTTATTCGAATTCCCTGTACAGCAGTACACAGACCAGGATAGGGAGGGGCAGTACTTAAAGAAAATCAGGTGTAACTATATTGGGCATAGAAATCCAATAACTAGAGCTATCTGTACTAGGGCTTATTGTCTGGACCTAAACTAAACAGTTCCAGATTGATTTGAGGGCCTGTTCACACCAATCAATGTGTTCATCGCACAGTCCCGTAGGATGAATGCAATGGATTGCATAAACAAAGGCTCCCCGTGTTCTGGGAGGAGATGTGGTAGTGCCATTCATTTCAATGGCACTGCAGACACACCTGCCGCCCGCAGTGCTATCGGCTGCACCAGAACAAGTGGTACTGCAATGCCACGTGTTCCATTGCGGCGCGATCGCAAAAAAAATAGCGCATGCACCACCATGCCCCCTCCCACCCCAGAATGTGGGGAGTCTTTGTCAATGGGATCCGGTGCATTCATCACATGGGATTGCGCGATGAACGCACTGGATCATGTGAACGGGCCCTCAATTTATTCAGGAACCCAGTGAATGGAAATCAGTGGGGTTGTCAATTGGAAAAAAATGCTCTAATGATGATTGTCAAGTAGTTCATTCATCTAGTGTGGATTTATCTATTGATTGCATGACACTTTTGAAGAAAAAATATAATTACTGCATCTCAAATGTTTAATTTTATGGAATTGAGATAGATCTGTTTTCACTTTTCAGACGTTAGAAAACTGTACTAATACCAATTTGTATGGTGTTAATGTGGATAATAGATGTAAAGTAGGTAGACGTATGAAATGCCTCTAAAAAAAAGTTGTTAATCAGTTTAGATTTAGCTTGAGCTACCTATTTATCCCATATGAGAAGCAGGCATTGCAAAATATATGTGAACAAACAGAATTTTCCATCCAGACGGCAGAATACAAAATTAAAACAAAAAATGTCCTCAGTTGTATTTTAAAGAAGAACTCCAGGATTGTGGTAAAGTTAATCATTGTTAACTACTCCTTTTGGTCTATGGGCAAAAATAAGAAAGAAGTACTCACCCGGTACTCGATCCTGTGGCAGTGACCACTCACCTCTCATCTAAAAGCTGATTTTCACATCTAATAGGCTGTATTAGACGTGATGTTGTCATGGGTCATTAGACTGCCAAAGCCCAGGGGAGAAGAGGCTGCAGAGACCAGTCTAGCAGCAAGGCGAAAAGAAGGATAGGGTATTTCTGCTTTATTTTCACTCCCTCAACAAA